AGAACTCTGATATGATTAATACTGCTTTTCTGTCTTTCAGTAGGTCGTACTAGCATGTAAATATAAAAACATGATTTTTCCTAATTATAAGACTCTTAGTTTATAATAATGAACTTACAAAATCTTTTCCAAAATTCCATTGATATTCTTTGAAAGTGGAGTGAATTTTTCTTTCTTGGAGAAGAGATTTATAGTAATGCAGATTTAGTTTACCTATTGTAAATTTTAAAATGGACAAACTATTTTTAAGACCACCTAGTGTACATTTACTACAATCATGCTTAATTTTCAGAAAGAATTACAAGTTCATACATCATGTCAATCCATTATTTGGTGAAGAACACCATTAATAGGGTTCAGATACTGCACTAAATTAGTCATTCACAGAAGGGTCCAAAATCATTAACATTCTGAAATTATCTTGCTTCTTTTTAAAATTATTTCTTTTAAAAATATATATATTGTATTTTTTTTTTACAATAACAATATTTAGTACTTCGTGAACAGTGTGTTGTCTGGGTTCATATATTTAAAACCATCAATGATAAATTAATTTCTACAATTAATCAATATGTTGGTAATATATTTCTTGATCCTCTCTTCTTCCTGTAATATTCTCCTTTTGTCTACATTAAATAATTATAATTCTTAATATTTTCAGTATATACCAAGTTGAATATAAACATTTTTTAGTATTTATGCATATAATAATAACATCAACATATAACATGTTTTTTAATCAGCTTGTTTCCATTGTATTTATAAAAGTCATCTTATTAAATCATTATATGTCCTGTTTTCAAGATTCTTATTGAAGCTTAGTTTCCCCTCAGTATTTAGACCACTCATCATAATTTTCTCAAAATTCATTACCTTTAAATATCCAAACTTTTCATTTAAATAGACCCTCTCAATGTTTTAACATTTCATATATTCTAAAAATATTATACTACTTAAGGTATATCTTATTCCTCTTACTATAGGGCCCCTTTACAACTTTATCTATTCTTTTGGCCATATTCCAACAATATTTAATCTTATAATACACCATCTAATAATCTTTCTCTGGGGCCCCTTTATGTCCAAACTTTATATATATATTAACCGTATTCAAACAAGTGTTTAGTCATATAATATTCCATCTGATCGGTTGAATCACGTCTCTTCTCTCCAACTTTAATCTTCTTTTGCCAGGTCACTTTCCAAATCAGTAAGTTTGGCTTGCCACATTGTATTTTTGTAAGTGTTGTTGGGGACAAAAAAGACAAATCAAGTAAAGTATCAGGTTTTGTCTCCCACGTTTTAATGATTCTTCTGACAGTTCTTTAATCCATTTTATTAGTTGTTCTATTTTATCCTCAAATTTGTTTTGAAGTCCTGGAGGATAAAGCATCTTTTTTGTCTTCTTTATTATAGTGAGGTTTTGCAGATTTTTTTTGTATTAAATTGTAGTTTTCTTCATTTGTAGCTTTTTATTTAAGTCACTTTCATTTAATTTATGTTCTGTTATCTGATTTTTTTGTTCATTCTTTGTTGTCATTTTTTGAGTGTTATTTAATTGTAGGTTTAAGTTAGAGATATGTTCGTTTATATTGTCAATTTTTTTTTAATCTCCTCATAGTTTGAAACAATTATCATTTGAATCTGTCACAGTATTGTGTATATTTTCTCCTGGAATGTATTTGTTTTGTCTTGAGTCATTGTTCCTGCAGATCTTTGAAGCTCCAAACTTGGGCCTTCAGCAGAAGGTGTTGGGTATGGTTTTCTATCACTTTTAGATAGGTATATAATATCCATTTTATCTCTCCCCTCTAAGTAGTTTTTCATCAGTGTCATAATCTTTTTAATTAGCTTTATCAAGCCAACCCATCTTAAAATCCAAACAGCCAAATCTTACGTAGTTCTTATCTTTATAAAATGGTTTTATAATCCAATATGTTTCCAATTGTCAAGGTACCACTGAAAACAATATTTTGTGACAGTTCTTCTTTTCAGGAGTCTTGTAATTATCAACCAGTCAGGATTCAGTCCAAAGTATTTGACCATCTAAAAGTTTTCCAGTAATTTTCCTTTAGAAGATTAGCCAAAGGCCAAGATTTTTCTTTCTCTGCAAATAGTTCTTAGGTTTACGAATGCAGCTCAGTGTGTTTGTAATCCCAGTAGGTCAGCAGTTTCTAAACCAGTGTTTCTCAACCTTGACAATTTTAAGGCATGTGGACTTCAACTCCCAGAATTCCACAGCCAGCATTGCTGGCTGTGGAATTCTGGGAGTTGAAGTCCACATGCCTTAAAATTATCAAGGTTGAGAAACACTGTTCTAAACATATGTAGTTTCACTCAGTAGTAGATAGCTCAATGCTTTGTTAGCTTTCAAATTTATCCAAACTGTAGTATTTTATATTTTTATTCCCCATAAGGGTTTAATTTGCTGCTTCTGTCTATAGAAGGATGAGGTAATCCCCTCCCTTCTCATTTTGGGAGGCTTTTTGCTTCTTGAAGAACTTTTCCAGGAAATCAGATATAAAATAGGAGAGAGAAGATCAAATTCCTCATCCAGTTTCAAGCACACTGTTCACTGTTGTGCTGGTTAGTGCCTTTGGACTTTGGCTGCAAGTAGCTTGGGCTGGTCAACAAAGTGTGACCAGCCTTTCTTCTGTCGGGTTAGAAGGCTTTCCCCGAATTGATGAAATGACCGCCGTTGTTCCAGAATTGTCGGGGCACCTGTTGTGATTCCTCGTCAGCCAGTGGACCCGGCAGCTGAGTCTGGGGAATCAGAGGAGGAGAAGGAGGGGCCTGGAGTGACATCAGAGTCAGAGGAAGGATCTGATAAGCTCCAAGACTTACAGTCTGATGAGGAGCCTGGCCCCTCTACTCGTGCTAAGGCTGAGACATAGCCGTGCTGGGAGGCTGAGTTGGACAGTGATGATTCACAGCTGAAAGATATCCAGGATGCTAGTAAATGCCGGCAGGCAAAGAGAGTCAGACAGAAGAATGCAATGGGGGGCTCCAAAGGCAAAGGGGAAGGTATTATGAAGCCACGCCTTGGCTGCATAATAAAAGGGAAGGTGTGGGAGGTGCTGAAGGCAACCATTTGTGTTAAGGAATCAGATTTCAATGAATTGTGTTTTGTTTGCCTTTGCCTTTGAACATTTACTCAGGTCTATAAATAATAAAAGGGGATTGGTTTTTTCCTCGGTTCCAGCCTGCTTGTTGGAAGAGAGATTTCTCCTTGTGAGCTTAACAAAGACTCACGTAGGCTGGGACAGAACAGTACCCTTCTTTTCTTCACCACCTCTCTGGGGTGACTTAGACCCATTTAGGGTCCCCTGGAAGGGCGAAACTAGCCACGGGGTGTGGAGGTCCGCAATCCCGTGACCAGGCGCTACGGCGCAAAACCAGAAGTCTCCTTAAAATTACTTCTTATAGGCTAGAATAGGGGGGTCAAACTGCTGGCCCGCAGGCCGGATGTGTCATGGCAAAACCACACCCATCCCATTGCCGGCAATGGAAAAAAAATCACGATACGTCACGACATATCATGTGACATTGCGAGTTTGACACCCCTGAGCTAGAACATCTGAAAGGCAATAGTTTGCCTGTTTTGTTTTAAAATAAGCATCTGCATTGAGATGCAGATCTACTTTGCATTTTGCTGAACTCCTGGCGATTTCATGGTTATGTCTATGCCATAATAAGTGGCTTGATATTGGGTTTTTTTTTCAAGATATCTTTTTTCTTCTTCTAAGTCTAGCTTACAGAGCTGATATTCTCTCATTGTCCCCATCCAAGGATTATTGGGCCTAATCTATTTCACTTCCAAGGATGGCTATCTGCTATCTGATGAAGCTCTAAAAGAATGTAGTAACTCTCCAAGCTAATTTAATGGATCTTTGTTGTAATTCATAAATGGTTACCACTTAATAAACCACCAGCTTTGAAATCTCTGTGCACATATGAAAGTGATTAAGTTAGATGAAAGCAAATATGCAGTTGATCATTAGCTACAAGACTACTTGTGTTTAGATCAAACTGTGAGTCTTAATGAAGATTATCCCTTTGTAAAAAGACCTCTTTAGCTTTGTAGGGTCTAGCTACTCCTACAGGTTCTCCAGATCCTTAAGCCTATAAGTTCAGAAATAAGGTTGAGAAGGATACCATGAACTAAGGAGAGATGTCAATGGACTACTGGCCATCCTATACTCCATGCTGCAGTAGGAGAAGCTGTAGGCCAAGCCCTTTTAGTTTTCTTAAACATGTTTGGGATCTGTTTATTTCTTCATTTGTTTTTCCATTTTCTGCTGATGGTATTTCCAGCTTTTATTGCTGAAAAACATATTTTTGATATTTGAAAATGGATTAGTGTGAAAATATTGAAGGGTTCTTTATCAGACGTCATTCAGATACTTTTAAAAAATTCCCCAACTCTCTGGGTGACCCCAACACTTTACAACACAGGGAGCATAGCAAAGGGAATGTGTTCTATTAACAGATCGGGAATTGATATTATTGGATTCTTTTCTCCCACTATCAGCATGATCAGTCCTTGTAAGCATATTTCACCAATAAGATTGATAATGATCAGAAATAGCATAATATTATTTTAATAATAATAAATTAAATAAACCAGAATAAGTCATATAATTAGGTGACCTTTAATTGAAAACGCAATATTGACAGCCCATATTTAAAGAAGCTGACAGATGGAGGAGGGTAGAGGAGGAGGTGGTATATCAGTAATGCCTCTATATTTAGATACGTCTCCTTTATTTGACTGTACAGCTGGCCACTCAATTTATTTTAATGGACTTGCAGTTCTCTGAATACTTTTCATGTGCTACACTGAAATCTCAGTCTATACATATAAGTCTTAGGAAGGCAAGTTTATTACTGATGCAAAGTGAAATCATTAGTAGGATCCAATGGATGAAATATTCCAATGACCCGTGTACAATCATACTACGTCCAAACCAGATCCATCACTTTTACTTTCTGCCCTACAGGGAGCAACCCATTTACAGCACCCGAGCTCATGTCTTCCAAATTGATCCAAATACAAAGAAGAACTGGGTTCCCACCAGCAAGCATGCTGTTACTGTGTCCTATTTCTATGACAGCACAAGAAACGTCTATAGGATCATCAGCTTGGATGGCTCAAAGGTAAGCTCCTTGATTGTTTAAGCCAAAATAAACTAGAATTGCATTACCTTTGAAGCATAGATGCCTTCCTTTCAACATACTTCAAGGTATTTCACTGATATGTGATCCAGAATAATACAACAGTTGTTGGAAGTTGGCTTACAAAATCATACTTTGTTAAAAATGCTTCTATCTGTGCTGATAAACCATTGACAGATGTTCAAAAAGGCATGGCTTGCTTGTTTTTTGTATGAGGAGAAATTCAGCATAAAAAGAGAAGAAGCTAAAAACTGCTGTTTGAAATGATAATGTATATCTGTATCCAAGTAGTCATATTTTTGTTGACTTAATTCTTAACATAAAATAATTTATAATAATAGCCAAACAGGAAAGGAACTTGGAAATGTGATATTACACCATATGGAGAGAGATATAGTTTGTAGCTCCATTATACAAATGTGTGTAAATGTTTAGTTGTAATTAGAGGTGTGGTCCCTTACAGGAAAAGAAGACTTTTATTTAAAAAAGGCATTTATGAAAAAAAATAACAATTTGCCTGATCATTTGGGATAGCAAGTCAAGTGAATAATGACATTATGTTCTACCCATTCATTTCTTCCCCATTCAGTGTTCTTGCATTGTAATCTACTTAAATAGGTTGTATGTAGATACATGTACAGCTCTCCAAAATTCATCCTTTTTTCACTAGAACAGGGAATGATAGGAACAAATTCCATCTTCCTATCCATTTGAATATTTTAAAATGTTAGCCATGGATATGATGTACAATTATAATTTTAAAATGGAATTTAAAATTTAACACAAGACAAGAGTAACAAAATACAAAATATTATATCTGTCAATAGCCGTAAGGGGCGAATGTAAAGGACCAGTGATTGTTGTTTAACATTCTTATTTAGGTCATTTGCCTGTAGTAGAGAATTGGCTTTGGACCTGAGCTTCTTAAAAATGAGGTTGATTTTTTTTTACTTGCATAAAAAATTAAGTTGCTGGATTCTCAATATTATGGGAGACCAGTGTTCTTACAGTATACCAGTTCAATTAACGAAATTTTCACTGATGCTTGTTAGTATGGGAAAAGCAGTATTTTAAGGATATTGATACTAATATACAATTTCATTGATGTATATGAAAACTTAAATAATTGGACAAAAATGCAGTGTTTCATACAAAAATTAGTTTATGCAATTATTATAGCACCAACTACTGAATGACAAAATGCAAAAAGCAAAAAGTATTCCTTCCTTCCTTTCCCCAAAAATGATAGCAGCTCCTCATGTGGACAAAGAAAGCTACTTTCATTGTGAAAAATACCAATACATGTTCATTAAGGTTTCAGGGTGTCAGTGATATTTATCCCACTTGAAAAGCCATTCCTTGAAATAAGCTGCATTTTTTGAGTTAGAATGCACTGAAAATCTCCAGTTCTGCTGAATAGTCATGTTTATGTTTCTGGGATAAGCATGATTCTAATACTATGGAAGGTGACCTTCGGCTTAAGAAACTGATCTGCCTATAGGTATCAACTTCCCACAACTCTGATCTAATGGCAGACTCATTATTGCTTTAAAATTAGCCTTCTTTAATTGCTGCATTTTATTTGCGGTACATTTTGGACCATTAAATATATAAAACCTTCAAATAATTGCAGAAAAGCTCCACAGTTAATGGTTCTGGGTGAAGGGTTTTTAGCCATAAACCTGTTCCCTAAACTGTTGTTAGCCTTGTTAAAGAAAAAATTATAACTTCTCCCCTATGGGATAAAAGCCACATGAAGCCAGAGCCTATAAGATATACAAACAGCTAAAAGGTCTAGAGTCCAGGGGTAGGCAACCTTGGCTCTTTTATGACTCGTGGTCCACGAGTCATAAAAGAGCCAAGGTTGCCTATCCCTGGTCTAGACAAATAGTGTGAGAGAATAGTGTGAGAGAATCCGATAACATCATTAATAAAGCTGTTTTTAGGTCACTATTTGTGGCTTTAGATGGAAAAAGCTTAGACCTAACGTTCAAGAGTTAATCAAAAAAGTCTCCTTAGTGCCATAATTGTACTATGTGTTTCTTTTTGTCCTTGGGCAAAAATATGGCCAGAGTTCTCTTAGCAACTCATTTGGGCTACTATTGTGCCTTTAAAACTATCTGTAGATGGAACAATGTATTGAATTCAAGCTGGCAGCTTCGACAAAACAGTTACAGTATCTTGCGAGTTCTGAATTATAAAGTGAGTAAGAATTAGTCAAGCATCTGCACAGTCCATTTTTCACTTACTGTCCTTTTCTATTTAGTAGCTTTTATTATTTATTGAATTTATATACCGCCCTATCTCCCTTACGGGACTAATGGAATTAATCTATTATCATACAGTATCCATTATGTAGCATGAAACAATGCACTGGAAATTCTTTTCAAAGGAGAGGTACAATTCTTCAATTCCAATGCAAACATATTTACAGTTTGCAAACTCATTTTAGTAAGTTTAGTAAGTTTGTTTTAAATGTTAACATAAAACACTAAATATAGTATACTTTAGAATGATGATAAATACTGGCAGAAAGATGAAACCTCTATTAATGTACCTATTTGCTAAGTTGGCATTAGATACAGGAATATCCTGGAAAAAAAATGAATGAACATAAGAATCAGATCAGACCAAAAGTGCAGTACTCAGTTATGTTTCACACTGTAGTCAATAATACATTTTGAATAAAAAGAACTCTTCTCTGAAGTATTCAGTCGTTCTTCATGCAGTTATAAACATATGAAGAAAATAATACCTATCTCCTGATCTTTGTTGTCATCCACTCCCCTACTCTTCACATTTTGAAAGTATCTAATAGACAAGTCTGTGGTACCAACATTCTTACTATGATCACATAAATTTTGAAATATTTGGTCACTCTGCAGATAATGAAAGGGACAAGATGCAACCCCAGATTCTTTTCATGTAATAACAACATAATGACAATTGAAAAGAGTTTATACAACATAGAATCAATTATCTTTGCTGACTGCAGTTGATCACAAGTTTCCCACCATCCATTGGCAGATTCTATTTCAACTTGCTAATGGAGCAGAGTATATCTGTGAATATGTCAGTTTTGAATATGTGCTTAAGTTTTTAGAAGGTGATTCTTTGGATGGCAAAATAGTCTGAAACTTACTCTGTTCTGCAGCAGCCAATTAACACTCCCCAAATGGCTTTATGATTATGTTTTATTTATAATATTTTTTCTGTGTACAGGCAATAATAAATAGTACCATCACTCCCAACATGACATTCACAAAAACATCACAAAAGTTTGGTCAATGGGCAGATAGCAGAGCAAATACTGTTTATGGCTTGGGATTTTCCTCTGAGCATCATCTCTCAAAGGTAGGTATTTCCACCAGGTATGTGATTGCTTGGAGCTAGGAAGCAACAGGTCAGAGTTATGCAAAAAGATAAATTTTTATAACACTCTTAAAAAGTTAATGCAGTTTACTTTTGAAAATATATTATCTTCTAAGCAAAGACCTCTTAAGTAAACCTTGAAGTTGCATGTCTTCCTCCAATTCATATAAACAAAATTTAATTATGGTTTGGGAATAATAATTCCAAATATTTCTCTGATATATGCTTCTCAAATTTTAAAAAAATATTCCTTCTTGACTGTGTTCCAAAACTGAACTTGATTGCTAAAACAAACAACCATATATAAAATGATCATTGGCTATTAACATTCCAGATTAAATTTAGAATTCTTAAAGGCTTCTGAGCTTTGTGTTTGGATCTAGGCTGTTTTCCTCCATGTGGATGTTTTTATGCTTGACATTTCAGAGTTTTGGATAGCCGTTTGGGATGTTTGTGTAGATGAAAGCACCGTCACATCTTATTAGCATGATGATAATAATTCGGAAAAACTGCCCTTGTGTGTATGGAATGGATGTTCTTACAATTTTTGTAAACCGGTGCCTTGTTTGTTTGTATCACTGCATTCATGGTGTCCGAAACTAATTCTTTTAGTTATGTATACCTGTTTTAATCACTTGCTATATTCAGTTTTCTGCCATGGCTGAACAGAACGTAACACTCAAAACTCAATGAAAAGTTCAGATTGGCTTGGGAGTTGGGACTAATGTTATCCTTTAATTTTCCATGTAATCTTGTTCAGAAAATTTGTAGGCACTTATAATGTATCAGATATGGACAGATATAAGTTTATTCCCTGAGAAAGAATACTTAAAACGTCCAGATGAATATTTGCTTACTTTCATTTCAGAAACTCCCATATATAGACCAAAGTAATAGTAAAGAGAAGATTTTAGCTGTATTTGCAAGAGAGCTTTTACAGGAAGCACTTACTAAGTTAGAATTTAAACTTATAGCTTACTCTACAATTATAGTATGTTATACAATTGTAATCCAAGATCTAGAAATATAGGGGAAAAAATTATAGTAGATCAAACCGCTTATACATTATAAAAGTATTATTAGACTGGCATTTTATTTTTCCTAACAGGTTTGTTTTGTTTCAACTGTTTTTCAGTTAGTTTTTCTATACATTCGCTGCTATTTCAGATCCTAACAGCATTTACAGCACTGTACTACCGTATATATGAATTTGGGGGAGGCAGTTGCCTTGTTTTTCATTTTATGCTTGTTTATATTTAACTCCTCTTTATTATATTTAACTGCCTCTTTATTAGATGTCCTTACAGCTTCGAGAGACCCTTTCAAAATGCTTTGCTGTTTCACATCCTAATTATTTATGAACAACTTAAAAAGCATTAGTCCCAATACTGATTCTAAATGGATCCAATTATTTCCACACTTCCATTGTGAAAACTAATTACTTTTTACTGATTGTTTTAAAATCTTTAATCAGATAATGTTGTTGATCCATAGAATCTATAGCCATTTAATGATCCACACTGATCTCTTTATCCCCTAAATTGGCTCAGGATCATTTGATGAGAAACTTGGTTGAAAGCTTTTTATAAAGCTGATCATACAGTGTCCTTGTTCACATTATCAAAGAACTCTAAAAGATTAGTGATACAGAATTAAATTTGAACAAGCTAGGTTGATTCTTCTTCAGTTTTGTTTTTAATAATATTATTCAACAAATTATCAAGAGCTGATGTTGAACAAATTGGTCTATATAATTTAAGCAAGGTGGACAAAATTAATTGATTTTCTTGTAATAATCTAAATAAAATTTTAGTATTCCCTATTTTACTATGTTATTCAGTGGCCTGGCTGCATCTCTTTATTGTTTCCCTCTTTTAAACAATTTAAAGAGTTTTGATTGTTGCTCCATTCTTTTGGCATTCCTTTGTTCTCTTTGAAGTTTTTAGTTCTTTGAAATGAGTGTAGTAATAATAATAATAATAATAATAATAATAATAATAATAGTAATAATAATAATAATAATAATAATAATAATAATAATAATAATAATAATAATAATAATAATAATAATAATAATAATAATAATGTTGGAAGGTATCTTGGAGGTCATCTAGTCCAACCCCCTGCTCAGGCAGGAAACCCTATACCATTTCAGACAAATGGCTGTCCAGTCTCTTCTTAAAAACTTCCAGTGTTGGAGCATTCACTGCTTCTGGAGGCAGGTTATTCCACTGGTTAATTGTTCTAATTGTCAGGAAGTTTCTCCTTTGTTCTAGGTTGCTTCTCTCCTTGATTAGTTTCCATCCATTGCTTCTTGTCCTGCCTTTAGGCCCTTTGGAGAATAGCTTGACTCCTTCTTCTTTGTGGCAGCCCCTGAGATATTGGAACACTGCTATCATGTCCCCCCTCATCCTTCTCTTCGTTAAACTAGACATACCCAATTCCAGCAACTGTTCCTTATATGTTTTAGCCTCCAGTCCAGTAAACAGTTTCCTTAACAGTAGTTGTTATAATGTCTTTGACTAAAATTTATCTTTCTTGACTTAATATATAACTTCACTGAATGACTCTCAAAAATTTTCAGAAGATTTCTAATGATATGCTGCAAGTCATCCTCTTGTCTTCCAAGGTCATTACAAGAATTGATCCTTCTTATATTTTCTTTCAATGATAATTTTTGAAAAAGAGTTGAAATTGAATATGCTTCTTTGGAATCTTTCTTTCTTTTAATTAGTATATACAATACGTTTATTATAATGGTGGTCTAAATCTCACTGTATTCAATAAGATTCCATTTTGTATTAGCTCCTAAGAGTATCTATTAAGAAAATGCACTCATCTGTGGCTCCCTGATTTTATTCTCCATCTCAAAGTATATTGAGAAGTTTACTATTAGCATCAGAATTACTAATGGGATCCATTATTATTTATTCACACCAATTATGTAGAGGAGTTTGTCTTTTTGAAATTTCTAATTAGTTTGATCTTTATGTCCTCTTTAATTATCCTGCATTTATGATTTTTTACTATTATTCTAGAGCTTGTATCAGATCATCAGGTTTCCATTGTATCTACTGGAGTACTCGGGATCTTCAGTTTTGGCTTGATAGTTACTAATATTAGCAGAGAAACCATATGCAATGTTCCTTCCTATTTATTATTCTTTTTTTTTTTGACATGTATATTGCCCCTTGGACCTCATTCATAAGTTATCACATCTTGCTGTATTCTTGTGACTTAATTCCATCATGCTTCTTGTTAGGACTATCAGTAACATTTTCACTCTCCTAGGCATAATTTTTTTCTGAATCAAATATTTCATAGTTCTCTGCTTTCTTCTAGGTATCTGTCTAAAACCGTTGTTAGGATCTTGGAGAAGCAGCAGGACAAATCTTAGCTATGAATTGTTTAGAATTCAATAGAAGAGACTATATCAAAGCCAACCTGGAAATGCTAGGAGTTCTTAGCCTTGATAAGAATTCTAGGAGGGATTCAGATTAGAGAACCCTGAATTACCTTGTATAATTTTTATTTGGAAGAAAATTAAATATTTTTGCATACTTTAAAATATGATTAGAAGTAAATTTGGGAACAAGTTTATTTAAAAAAAGTATATTGAATACAAATGCAGGTAGTCCAAGCTTAGCCACCATTCAAACTTATGATGGATCTTCCCAGAGCTATAGCCAGTTTTCAAAGTTCCAACTACCATCATGTGATTGTATTTTGGGCACGTGACAACCATCAGTTCACAACTATGGCCGTTTTCAGCATACCCATGTGACCACAATTTTTGGTATTATTATTATTATTTTGCTGGTTTTAGACTTTTACTTTGCTTGGGGAAAACGGGTTTGCTTAGGGATCACAGTGTTCACTTAACAATTGTGTCATATGTTTAACAACCACTTGAAAAAGATCCTAAAACCAGGCACAGTCACACGGTGACCTTCATGACAACTACTATGAATTATGACTGTAATTCTGGGTTCAATTACAATCATAAGTCAAGGATTACCTGTAAGAATTTTGTGGCACCTTAAATATTAATTAATCAGGCACACTGTAGGTTAACTGTTATGCTTGTTATACATGCATTTTTAAGGTATCACAAAATGCTACAAACTATTTATATACCTTGTATTTACTGATTAGGTATTCCCTTCACTACCTAAAATATGTTTGTAATATAATGCACAAATCAGATTGCACTAACCACAAATTACTTATGGATGCATTTCTGAATGTTGAAAGAGTAGCTGCCATACTCTCTGAACATATCTTGAAATGGTTAAGGCATGTAGTCTTTCCAGAGAGAGGTATGAATTTTAGAGGTGTGACTTGATGTTAAGCTTTCAGTTCCAAAGAAAGTATTATACCTGGGATTTATTTATATATTTATCTGAGTTGCCATGATAAATAGCTCCATGGTTTCATGCAGTTCCAAATAATTTTATAGTGTCATAAAGGCAGTCCTTGATTAACGACTACTTGTTCAGCAACCATTCAGAGTTAGCAGTGGTTCTGCACAAGGAGATTGAAAACAGATCCTAGTAGTTGCAGTGTTTACCACATATCCCAGACATGTGATTGTGATGGGCACATGGCAACTGGCTCGCAATTACAACAGTCACAGCATACCACGGTCACATAGTTGCCATTTGCAACCTTCACTGCCGATTTCTGCAAGCAAAGGCAAAGGGAAGGCATTACAATGGTGATCATATGACCCTGGGATTTGCTTAACAAAGGCAAATGGAACTGCTGCAACTGCCATTGTAAGTCCCAATTACAGCCTTTAAGCAAGAACTGCCTATAATTCCAAAAAATTCCACACAGGCCACTCTATAGAGTATTTCATAAAAGTGTAAGGATGGTAATAACTATGTATCCTTTGTTGTCCTGTGCTCCCCATATCCAAGTGTAAATAATATATAAGAATTATTAACAGCCAGAGATACGTAATTAGGAGTACTGATAGGCATATATATTAGACCATGAATTCCGAAAAAATATCTTCCCACCATCCATAATGATTAGAATCAAAGATTCTGTTTCTCCTAAGGAGCCTTTCTCCAAATAAGAAAGAAAAGTTTTGGATTCAACACAAAGGATTGTGATTTATATCCTCTGAGTCAAAATGATTTTAAACATACTGTGTACAGGAATGTCAATAACATTCAGAATGCTGTGCTCAAAATAAATGATTAGAAAGCTGAAGTTTGAAAATGAATGGTTAACATTGTAAAGATGAAGAAAAATCTTGAACATTCAGCAAAGTACAAGAAAGTGTTCTTATTAATTTCTGGGTCCTGCAGAAATTGCTGAATTAAGACCAACTTAGCCAGTGTGAGATATGTAGAAAGAGGTCCAATATACCAGTAACTAAACCAAATAGATATTTTTTGGCAACAAAGCATATTCCAAAATAAATACAGATGGTTGTCAACTTACACCCATTTATTTATGACCGTTTGACGTTACAACAACACTGAAAGTTTTCACACTTACGACTGTTGCAGCATCCCTGTGGTTACATGATCAAAATTTGACTGCTTGGCAACTGGCATGTATTTATGACAGTTGCATTGTCCTGGGATCATGTGATCACCATTTGTAACCTTCCCAATGGGCTTCCGATAAGCAAAGTCAATGAGGGGAGCCAGATTTGCTTAATGACATGATTCATTTAACAACTGTAGTGATTCATTTAACAACTATGTCAAAAAAGATCATAAAATGGGGCAAACTCATTTAACAACTGCCTTGCTTAGTAACAGAAATTTGGGGCTCAAATGTGGTTGTCGAGGACTACCTGTACTGGTTATGTCTGGCTGACTTCAGTCTGGTATATCAATCTAAATAGAAATATAAAGCTTTATCACACAGAGATTGATGATAGAATAGTAACATTTAGTTGAAACCTCTACCTACACATCTTTGTCATCTGAAATAGCCTCTACATTTGCAACAAATAATCAGCACATAAAGGAGAATTTGTTTTATTCTTTGAGGCCAAGGTATTATACCAAGGATGCTTTATTCAGAAAAAGTGCTACACAGTGCATATTGTGTTAACAAAAGGTAACCTCCACCCATACACATGTGAGCTGCATCCATTACCAAACCTATGAGGTGCACGTTTATACATGAGAACTGCTTAAAGTGCCCTGGTAAGAAAACATTCACAGCAAACTGAATTGACCTAAGCGGGAAGAGGGGAAAGAACCAACTAGGAACCTTCTGGCATAGTAAACCGTTTCTAGTCAGGACTACATCTCAAAGATAGTAGAGCTGCCATGCTGACCTAAGAAGAAGGGATAAATAATAAGGTCACCCAGATGGTTTTATCAAAACTATTCCAGCCTCATGCTGAAATTTACGCTGTATCTGCCCTTTTCTTTGTCTTGTCTTTGAAATGTGGTGGGCCAAAGTTATATGAGTTGCGGTTCTGCTTTTGCTCTCAGGACTGTTCAGAAAGCTGCCAATGCTTTGCTGGAAGTCCCAGGATACATTTTTGTTGTTTCCATGCCTCATAAAATTATGTTGTATCTTCAAAGAGATTTGGTTGCTTTAGATTTTGGCCACAACTATATTCATTCCAATGGCTTGATCTGCTCTGGCTAATTTTACAAAAGAACAAAAAGGAGAGGGAAAAGTCCAAAATATAAACAAAAATGATCTTATTGGATCTCACTGGAACTGATTCTATCTCTCTCTCTCTCTCTCTCTCTCTCTCTCTCTCTCTCTCTCTCTCTCTCTCTCTCTCTCTCTCTCTCTCTTTTATATATTTGTTCATAGATGTTACTCTAATAAGCACCAAATGTGTAACCTCAAGAACTTAACATTCCTAAATGTTCAATATCGCATATGTTTACTTCTGATGTAGATAAAAAGTAAAACAAAAAGATTCTCTTCCAAAGAGAAAATAAAACAGAAATTATTTTATCTAAAATGTTGGTAAATTAGTCAGCTGGAATAGTGGCTAAGAGGAGCTGTTGTGATTTATACTGCCAAAGGGTATTGGTGACTGCTAGGGCAAAACTCTGAAAGGGAAAGCTATGTTCCAGATCAAAGATAGTTGCTGAATGTCTCCATTTTTAGCCTGTTAGAAGTGAAACTATTCAATAGTAAAATCTACTTAATTTCTTTCTTTTTTTCTTTCAGTAAAGCTGTCTTATTTTTTGCCCCATAGTATTCTATGGCCATAAATCTGAGACGGAATATTTCTTAATCGGGAAAGTGTTTCAATGCAGGATATTCCTGTTCTGTTTTGTTATATTGTCTAAATGTTTTCCATTTCTGATCCTAAGAGCCCAAATCAATTTTAGGACAGGGTACTATATGGCATACAAGCATGACACTGTGGTACATCTTTTCAGCCAATGTCTCTTAATTGTCTATAGATTTGGTGAAAATAAAAGTTTTGTTTGTGTTTTTTGCAATTGGTGCAATGGTCATAAGGGAGATGACTCTGAGATGATCTTGCAATGATTGTAATTTTGTAGGTAACTAACCCTAACACTTTAAATAACTTTAATTTTAATCCTCCTGTACTATCTGTGAAGCAAGGTGTTGTCTGATAATGTAGAATATTCTTGAGCAACTCTCAATTTCTTTTTATTAAAGCCCAAACTACAATAGACAGCAGGTGACATTTGTGGAGTGATCAGTAAACAGTTTTATTTCAGTACAGCCCAAATCAGTAAGTAGGCAGAGATGGGTGACAGCCATACTTGGCCATTCCGGACTATCTTTCTTGTAGTTTTCTAATTCAAACGTCTGGGCCAATGTGACTTTAAGGCAATGACCAATCATATGTCCTTCCCATCTATTTATGCTTTCTAAGCATAGATCTTCCCTGTGCAGTTTCTTTTCCCTCTTATCTGTGACTAGTTACAATGGCTAGAGTTCCAAAGGTGCTTTTTCAAAAAGCAACTGGACTTCGTTTTTTTCCAGTCCAGTTGAAAAAGCACCTTTAGGACAACCATGATCTGGATGACTGAGAATCTCCATAGACAATGGCTACAGAGGCAATGCCTGCAGTAACAAGTGTTTAATCTTTCACTAACCTTCCCCTGTAATGAACACTGCTGCTCATTACAAGTTTTTAGCTTCTTTTAGCTTTCTTCCCCCTTTGCTTTTTCAAAATTTAGCAACTATCACTGATCTTAGATACCATCTTATAAGAAATAGTCATTAAAAAATTGTGAAGCACAGTAAGAAAACCGATTCCAACAAGCAGTTGCATTTAACTTTTGAAAAGTGATCTAGAACATTATTTCTGATTTGCTTATAGATGAGAGCTGTCATTCTTAAGGAGTGATTTATATCTGTAGCCTTTGTGGAGAGTGGTTCTTGTTGGGAGAGTAAGATTAAGTAGTCTTTAAATGATTATTGTTTAACAGTCATGATAGTTATTCATAGTCATATCCAAAAGGCTGATCTAGCTATTGTCATAATGGATCACAAATATTATATTTTGATGTCCCATTTTTTTCAGCTAATTGAGAAATCTTTGTATGGACTATAAGTCTTCTTCCCAAATAACAAGTATGTCTTGATATACCTCCAACTAATGGTTTTATTATATTGGTTACTTTTTCATATTTTTGCTATTTTTTCATGATTTTGTTGAGAGCCTGTGCTGTATGTTGTAAATTTGATAAATAAATAAATGTAATTAGCCAACCTTTGCTTTCAGTTTGCAGAAAAATTTCAGGAATTTAAAGAAGCTGCACGATTAGCTAAAGAAAAATCCCAAGAAAAGATGGAATTAACAAGTACACCATCACAGGTATGTTTGTCCTAGTTTATGATTAAAAATGGGTATAATTTATTTGGAATGTAGTTTTGATTTATCCATTAAATATCAGTTTGGGGGCATTCATCTGCATAGTTTCATGCCTGTTGTACCAGGTACTGTATGTCTGTTATAGATAAAGAGATAATAGCTTTTCACTCTGCAAAAGTTGTAGCAATTTATACATTGGAATAAGCCATTCCTTCTAAACCTTATGGAGATTAGAAGGATCCTTGAATGAATATAGGATGCAAAGAAAAATATTCTGCTTCAGCCTGAATATATAGCCATTATGGGATGCAAGACCTTATTTTCTTAGTTTGCTTCCATGGTGTCCATTGTATGTATCCACAGGGGGGGAATTTGCATGATGATGGACACTTGACAATTCCATTTGTGTGTGCGTGCTATTAATGTACAACATATTAATTTAATGTTTTTGGCTGTTTGGGTTTTTTCCAGTTTTGTATGCTGCTCAAGGACCACTGGAGTGGGGTGGCCAATACATTTAAATAAAATAATAATAATAATAATAATAGTAATAATAATAAAAATAATAAAAATAATAAAAATTAGAATGGGATTATATTGTGATTCTGCACCTGCCATCTTCCTGAGGTTTTGACATTTTTCTGTGCTATTTACTTTATACAAATGGTTCCTTCCTGCCTCACTTCGTCTTGTTCTGATGTTCATGTTACAATGGCTTGCCTTCTTTATCTGTTTTTGTCTTCCTTATGACCTTATAAACCAGCAGCTTCTTCTTCCTTCTCCTGTAATTCTTCCTTTTTCAGTATCCTTATTTCCTCTTACTTCTGATTACTGTCTCATTCTTCCTGTGGATCTTGTTTGGACCACGTGCAAATTGATATTCACATTTCAACAACCTTTGCTGATCTTGAAAAGTCAAGGCAGATCAATCTTATAGCTCAGTGATGGCGAACCTTTTAGAGACTGAGTGCCCAAACTGCAACCCCAAACCCACTTATGCATCGCCGAGTGCCAGATGGGTGTGGCCCATTGGCTGGGTATGGCCAATTGGGTGGGCATGGCTGCGGTGGTAATGGCAGACTGGGTGGGACTAAAAAGTTCAATCAATCAATTCCAACTTTGCAAGATCTTTTTTTTTTTCCGCAAGAAGTTGAAATTGACTGATTGAACCTTTTTTTTTTTTTTGCACACGGCGGCGGAGGCCTAAAGCGAAAAGATTTTATAAAACCCAGCTGAAGGTCTAGGACTGGGGCAACGGCGCGCATGCCCACAGAGAGGGCTCTGAGTGCCGCTTTTGGCACCCGTGCCATAGGTTCACCACCACTGTTATAGCTGTTGGCTAGATTGGGAACTTGTGGAAAAAAATATCATGGAAGTAGGCAATCCATATATTGTTAAGCGGAGCTAAATTTGGTTCCTTTTATTTAATAAAATGTGAGAACTAATCACTGGGGTTGCAAAGCATGCAAAGTGTTTGAAAGAGGGTACTTTGCAAAGCAAGTTAGTGGAAATAAAGACCTGCATTGAAGGAATAAAGGAGCTACATGATTTGCACAGTTCATAAAGCTGCTTTGAAAGCTTTTCCCTGGTTCTCTATACTTATATCTACATGCCGAGATAACCTTTCTGTTAGGATCTCCTGCAGCTGAGCATGCTCAGCCTGGGAGAAAGCTGTGGCTGCTTTAATGCTTTGTAGAAGAAAGGTTTTGTATAGCCACACTAATCATTTTATTGAGACATTTGCTTGAGCAATCACTTTCTTACTAAGTACTATAACCCCAAGGGTGGGTAAATTAATGCAGTAGTCTCTAGGCAATATGTAAACTGTAAGTGCCCTGAGCTTTAATGGATAGCAAATGCCTCAGGCTATTTCTCTTCTTAAAGTTCTAAAAATGACCGGACTGAGAAAAACACAGTATGCCAATTGATTGTAATGGTTTTTTTATTTATTTATCTAAAACCATCTTGCACTTACTGTGAAAGGTGTTATCAAGCATTGTTTTTTAATTTCATTATACTCCATCTGTTTTATTCTATACTTATAGTCTAATCCCTAAATACCTCTCAGATAATAGCTGGGACATAGGTAGGTAACTGTTGGCTGAGTATGTGGTGCCATAAATATTTGCCATTATTTTATATCATAATGGATTTTGAGCTGATGAGCTTTTCCCCACAAAAGTGCAGCACTACTTGATTTAAATATTGTCTTGATTGTCTTGCCCATATAGTATGTTAAATGTATTGTAATTAGACATGTTTCAGCTATTTTGATATTTATTCATACAATAGATGTTTTTGTCACTCTTATTAACACAAGACTAGACTTTAAAAGCATTAAGTTAGTTAAGCACACTGCGTATATTACATAAATGTGTCAATGTGAATATTCTGAAGAGCAAGAACTCTGTTTTAAAAGGATGAAAAATTGGATATTTATAGAATTTTCTTTATAAGAGAAATGATAATCTATACTCAAATATTTGAGGTATGTTCATCTCAAGGTTGAAATTTGGAATATTCATGGCCCAAGTACCTTGCTAATTAGAGAAATCTGAATGCTGGGTATTTCTGTTTTCTTCAGAAAGAAGAAATAAAGATTTTCCTTACATTATTTTTAAAGGTTGAAATTCAGTGCATATGTACTGTAAATTCGATTGATAATTAGTAAAGTCTGAAATACCGTATATTTTCATCTGAACTCATAATTTAAATTGTGACATTTTCTGATCATGGAAATTACCACAAAGATAGATGAGAGTGCCATTAAACTGAAACTGAATTTTATTTATATTTTAATTTATTAATTTTAAATTAAATTTAAGAGCTCTTTTAGGGCTGTCCACTAAAAATCTGCTTCTTCAGACTGAATTCAAAAAGATGCTTCCAAATATTGGAGGATGCAAATGTAAGCAGCTCATCTCCCAGGATTGCAGTTTTTCCTTCCATCTGCCATGTGATCACCATGTGAGCATCCATCCAACCACTTTAAAAAATGAAAAGAAAGACTATGCTATACCTACACACTTTAGGGTACAGTACTATTTTGGATTCCAATATGAAGACCACTGCACGGTTCTAAATTCTATAGGAATATAAGTAGAAAGCCAGTATATCCTCTAGCCCAGTGTTTCTCAACCTTGGCCACTTGGAGATAGGGGGACATAGCTGGCTGGAGAATTCTGGGAGTTGAAGTCCCTCCATCTTCAAGCGGCCATGGTTGAGAAATACTACTCTAGCTCAATTCATGAGGATGTAACTATCTATCTATCCATCCATCTAGAATTGTTTTGAAAGTGCCACATGGAAACAGCAGATGAAAAATTCTAGAAAAGGAAAATCCTGAAATAGTTCCTACTCTTAGACCCCTAAGCTAAAAATGAAGGTGAATGAATTCATTCATCTCTGAGTTTCAGTTGGGAGAACATGAATGCAGGTAGTATATTGGTAGAATATTCCTTTTTTCTACATCGTGAGATTTTTACTATTGCAGTCAAAAATTAGGAGAGAAAGAGATACCTAGATAACAGCGGCAGCTTCACGTTCTTAGGCCCTCGAATGAGGAACTCAGCATTGTGATGCTATGCCACAAATTCTGCCCTTTTGGGCATAGTATGCTCATCATCACAATACACATAGAAAAGGAACCGGCCTTGAATCACAACACCACAACACTGTTGGAATTGCTCTGACCCTCAGAGGCTGCTACATGAAACAGAACATATTTTGGCATAATTAGTTGATTGAAATAATAGATGGGACATGATCTGATGTGCACACAAATAGCTTCCTTTTGTATTCTGCTTTAAAGGTTCAGTAGCATACTGAATACTGATATTTTCTAAGACTTACAATATATTTGATAACTGTAGCATTTTATTTTATATATTGGAACTATATTGTGTAGAAATGAAATATGTAACCATTCCTCTTCTTTTAAAGGAATCTGCGGGTGATATTCAATCTCCTCTTACACCGGAGAGCATTAATGGGACAGATGATGAAAGAACAATGCCAGAAATGACACAAAATTCAGAACCAAGGGCTGAACCAACTCAGAATGCATTGCCATTTGCGCATAGGTACAGATTCCATTCCCACATCCTTATTAAGTAATATGTACGTGTGCTTTTTTGTTAAAGTTGCCTCTTTTTTATTTGGTGAATTTAAAGATCTTGCATGATTGGTGGGCCTATAGTCATGAATACAACTTGTTTTATTTGCTGTTTCTCTACTAAAATGACATGGTTTGATATACAAAAGAAGCTGATATCTTCAGTGATGAGAACTACAGCAGAAAGAAGAATCATAACTCTGCCAGTGTGGGTATTTTTCCCTCCTGTCTGCATTTCTTCTCCTCTGTGCATCTTGGCCATGGACTATATTTAAACAAAGGCTCAAGTGATTTTTTTTTTGGGGGGGGGGGAGTGAAATACATCAGTAAAAGCACTTTATTTCTACTCTTCACGTAGGAAGCAATATTTGAATGCCTGGAATTTTAATACTATAGCTTTAAAAGGGCTTCCTCTGATATTTTATTCAATGTCAGATTGTTAAAATGCAAATAATACTTGCAACAAATCATAGCAGAGTGTAGTGTTCTTATTCCAAGTACTAGTTAGTCATGCTCTTTTCAAGTATGACCCATTTCTCTTTCTCTTGCTCCAATTTGGGTGCTCCATGAATGTGCACTGACCTTTTAGGTACTTGAGAATGCTCCTAAACTCTTTTTACAAATATATATTTCTTCAAATCTTAAGATGTCTCCAAACAGCTATACATCTCTCACATATACATGGTATCGATACCATCCATACTGGATATATCAATACATTGCATGAACCTCTTATTTAGTGGGTGGTGGACACCGATATTTTGGCTTGGAGTGTAGTTTTTAGAGATTCTGGTTTGCATAGAATAGTCTGAGAATGCTTAGTGTGAAATTGGTTTTTGGTTGTGCTTTGGGCAGATTGACCAAAATGTGTCTCAGAACTGATAGATGCTGTCGTTATTATTAGAGAACGTTGCAAGTGGCAAAGATATGATTAGGTTTGGTAACCTAGTCTACAGCTTTTCTGTCACTGTAAAGAGCACTACAGGTAGTCCTCAATGTGCAAGCATTTGTTTAGCTACTGTTTGAAGTTACAGTGGCACTGAAAAAAGTGACTTATGACCAGTCCTTGCACTTATTACTATCACAACATCCCTATGGTCATGTGATCAAAATTTGGATGCTTGGCAACTGGTATGTATTTACAATGATTGCAGTGTCCTGTGATGGGGTGGTCATGTGATCTCCATTTGCGACCTTCCCAGTCAGTTTCCGACAAGCAAAATCAACAAGGAAAGTGAGATTAACTTACTGACTGTCTGATTTGTTCAACTGCAATGATTCACTTAATAGCCATGGTAAAAAAGGTCATAAAATCAGGCACAACTCACTTAACAACCACTTTGCTGAGCAACAGAAATTTTGGCCCCAATTGTGATCGTAAGTTGAGGGCAACCTATATAAGGACCTTGATTGACCAAAGTCATAATGGATGAATGAAATCACTATCTTTAGGAGCATCCATTGATCACAGCAGAATGACTAGGAAACAAATTGCAGACCAAGTGTATGAAGGATGTGCAAATCAAATTAAAAGAAGGGAGACTATATATAATGTACATGTATATATGTGCATTTTTATGTACATACAGTAGTGGCCAAAATTGTGGAAACCTTTTGGGAAAAGTGTACAGTAGAAATGCCACCTTTGGTTAAGTTTCCACCAATTTTTCTTTTAATTTCTTTATAACTTTATAACGTTCTCTTAATAATACTATTTTACATCACTTTCTGGGCAATCGGTCAACTCTTTGCGCCATTACTTTAATTTTATTACGTTTTACAAGCTCACTAAATGAAAGAACACAAAAAAAACCAACCAACTTGATAGCGATCACATAACACACTGACAAATGTCCTCCTCTCAGCTTCAATACATGACATCAATAACTGAATCCTACTATGATCTGATTGGCTCATTGCTCATTGGCTACAATCAGATAAAGGAAAGCTACCTGATATCAACCTAAGCAAGTTGTGCTTCCTTTTTCTGGTTATTTCGCTATAACTTTTCATAGAGTACAGTACACATAATTGAACAAACCTTGTTGCATTACATTCTTGATTAAACTATCTTTCCATTGATATATAATTTTATGGTACTACTCCAAAAAAAAGTGGTGTTATTAGCCATCAAACCTCAAAAATACACTTTTCCCCAAAAGGTTTCCACAATTTTGGCCACTACTGTATATGGATTCAAATGTGCAAATTTTAGTTTTTAGTTACTATATGGTATAAATATTCTTCTGTAGCTTTTTCATGTATGGAATATTGGAAGGAGGTAAAATCATTCATTGTTTCTGGCTATTTGGTTTTCTTCTTTCCCATTTTTTTTAAAAAAAATCTTTAACAATTAATCAGAAATTTGAGTCATGGTTTTTCAATAATGAGAAATGCAGACAATTTTTACTATAATATTGTATCCTGTTATAATATTAATTTATTACAAAGAGTTTATCTTGAATAGCAAATAACCTTTTTGGAGGAAACAAATGTCTTTTTTATAGAAAACCTGGATATTATAAGCCATTGTCTTGAAATAGTTAATATTTTTATAAATGGATTGAGCTTAAACTATGAAAAATATTTTATAATATATAACACAGCACTAAAACATATTTTAAGCGAATCTACTTGGTTAAATTGCTGTATGCTGCTATAGTTCCAAAATAGTAAATTTATTCCAAATGGAAAGAAATATTAAGATTGTAAAATTGTATTGTAAAATTCTGAGGGGATTTTTTTATAAGAAAAATATCCCTTTCAACTAAAGTCAAAAGATTTTTTTCTATTGTGTATTTTTCTAAGAATATTGAACTCTAATTGGAAACTGAGAAGGTTGTCTTCATATCTTTATCAATTAGGTATAAGTAAGAACTATATGTCTCGTTCCATTTCTTTCTGCTTTTTTTGGTCTGTTAAAGGCATATGCACCAGAAAGGCAGGTTATATGTTTTACATATAAAAATAAAAAGTATCTAATACATACATAACTTGAAAAAAAAATTGAGCTTAACAGTTTGGAGGAAGGTGAGACTACATACAGTATGTACCGGTATATTCCCCAAGCTACCCCTCTTGCTTAAATACATTCTCTTTGATTTCTTGATTCTCGGTTTGAGTCTGAATTCCATTTGGAAAAAGCAATGAATAAGGGATGTGTGTCATATTGTTATATATTTCTAATTTCATAATGCCAGATTGCAGAACCTCTAGTTGAAGTCCTGCTTCATTATAATACCTTACCTCTCACCATGCTGACTGAGTTCCTGGGAGAATATTAATGAGATGTCTGCAAAATATCCTGAATTAAAACAATGACTTTGAGTTTGAAATAATTCTTGCAACATGACTAGGACTGGCACTGTTGCTCGGAACATGTCTGTATGGTCACCACTGTTACAAAATTCAAACTTTTTGCACACCCCTAGTTTTAATCCAACAACATCGGGAGAGCACCAAAGTCTCCATCCCTGTCCAAAAGTACAGCATTAGGTATAAGAACCGAGCTGAAGAAAGAAAACTATTGAAGGCCAGTTGTGATTGCAGCTGACATATGGCAAATTGCACATGTCCCTTATTGCACTGATGCCTTTCATCTTGTTTCTGTGAAAAACAGAAGCTAAGCTATCTGATGTGGCTTTTTGAAGCTCATAGAGACAGTGGGGATATTGTTTTAAAGAAAATAGCAACCTTAATTACACCAACTTTCTGTCCCTTCTAAAAGAAACTCTCTGGGGCTTAAACTACATGTTACTTTTTAATTTTAAATGGACATGAGGTGTAATCATGAAAAGTTAGAAGTGTTTTTATAACCATTTATCTTTAGGCTGTAATGGATATCTTCCTGAAGTTGCTCTTTACATCCAAAAATTAACAGCACTTTTTAATGGATCAAGTTTGATTACAAAGGTGTGATTTACAATAAATTTCTCCCAGGCTTTATTTCCTATTCTGTTAATAGCTTTTATTTCTTTGTTTTAAAAAAAATCATGCAATATCAAATGATTTATTTAGCTTAACATCTAAGAATGGCTTTTTATTCTGAGAAAGTGATTAGGTTATTACCATACAAATAATATGTAAATTAGAGAGGAACCATGTAAGATAATTTACATGAAAATAAATGCTTATACCCTTAAAGACTTAGCCAGTTTATTGTTGCACAACTTTTCCATAGGGTACAATTTGTTTATACAAATGCTTTTGTTTAAATCATCCAACAACGCAAAATTCCAAAACATTTTGTTATTATTGGTAAAACATGGGTGATAATCAGAATATTTTTGTGGGAAAATACCCTAAGCATTATATGAGTGTACAAATGTAATCATCTCTGACAATTTATAAATTTCAAATACATATTTTTAAATGTTTTAAAAGTGAATTTCCAGTAACTCCATCAAAAGTTTTAATACAGAGTCCTGATTTAGAAAAACACCACATATAAAGGCACACATGATGTTTGCTTTTGCTTGTGAATTTAGCACTCTTTCTTGTACAGAGCTGTGTAAAGATTTTTGTTTGAATGCCAACCAAGGATTTGTACTTCTAAAATATTTTAAATGTATTATTCTTACTGCAAGAAAACTACATTCAGCTAGCATTCTGATTGAGAAGCCATTTCTAATCCTGGAAATTAATAAGTACATGGAAAGTAGCTTCTTGGAGTTTTGGGAAGTTCTTTGGAAGTTGTTGATGAATGGAAGACATTGCTGAATGTGTTTTAGTATCACAAATGCATCTGTATATATAAAGATTTTAAAATTACAACAGTGTACTCTGGATTGGATCTAGCAGAAAATGCTTACAGGAGGAAAGATCCCTTTTATGACCAGGAGGCTTTGATCTATATTTTTTCTATTGGCTGGAAAAAGACCATCTATACTTACTCTACCTGCGCTGTACTTTTGGATAATATTCTGACAAGGGATATTTCAGGATCCTGCTGTTAACAAAATAAATCTT